TCACAATGGGAGAGGCCACAACAGTGAGAGGCCCACGTACCGCAAAAAAAAAAAAAAAAAAAAAAAAAAAAAAAAAAAAGATGCAAAATATACTTAGAAGTCCCTGAAGCAGACTTAAGGAACAGAATAAAGAACTCAAAAAACTATAATTCAAGAATATTTTCCTAAAAAAGACTGGAAACTACATATTAAAAAACATACCATGATGAAGAAAACTACAAAACTCTAATGAAAAAGATCAAAGAAGAACTAAGCAAATGAAGACATATTCCATGTTCATGGATAGGAAGACTCAATACTGTCAAGATGCCAGTTCTTCCTAACTTGATACATGGGATTCAATGCAATTCCAATTAAAATCCCAGCAAGTTATTATGTGGATATCGACAAACTGATTCTGAAGTTTACATAAAGATGCAAAGATCCAGATTAGTCAACACAGCATTGAAGGAGAAAAGCAAAGCTGGAGAAGTAACACTTCCCAACTTCAAGACTTACTAAAAGCTACAGTAATCAAGATAGTGTGATACTAATGAAAGAACAGCAAACAAATCAATGGAACAAGCAGACAGCCCAGAAGTACAGTCAACTAACATTTAACAAAGGAGCAAAGGCAATTCAAAGGAGAAAGGACAGTCTTCTTAGCAACAAATGGTGCTGAAACAGCTGGACATCCACAGGCAAATAAACAACTTTACACTCTTCACAAATATTAACTCACAATTGATTACAGTCCTAAATGTAAAACTCAAAACTATAAAACTCCTAGAACATAACATAAGAGAAAATCCAGGTGACCTTGGGTTTGGCAATGACTTTTTAGATACAACACCAAAGGCACAATCCATGAAAGACATTTAATAAGCTAATTTCATTTATCTTAAAAAACTTTTGCTCTGTGAAAGATATTGTCAGAAGAATGAAAGACAAGCCACAGACTGGGAGAACGTATTTACAAATGAAATAAAAACAAAGGACTGTTAACCAAAATACATAAAAAACTCTCAGAACAAAAATAAGAAAACAACCCAGGATTTCCCTGGTGGCACAGTGGTTGGGAATCCACCTGCCAGTGCAGGGGACGTGGGTTTGAGCCCTGGTCCAGGAGGATCCCACATGCCGCGGAGCAACTAAGCCCGTGGGCCACAACTACTGAGCCTGCGAGCCACAGGTGCTGAGCCTGTGCTCTACAGCCCATGCTCCGCAACAAGAGCAGCCACCGCAATGAGAAGCCCACCCACCACAACGAAGGGTAGCCTCCACTCACCGCAACAAGAGAAAGCCTGCGTGCAGTAACAAAGTCCCAACGCAGCCAAAAATAAATAAGTACATAAATAAATTTATATTAAAAAAAAATCCATCACCTTACATAGTTACCAAAAAGAATTAAAAAAACCAAACCAAAACAAAACCAAACCCAATTAAAAAACGCACCAAAGATCTGAACAGACACCTCACCAAAGAAGATACAGAAGGCAATGAAGCCTATGAAAAGATGCTCCACATCGTATGCCATTAGGGAACTGCAAATTAAATCAAGGTAACACCACTGTACACCTACTATGGTTGCTAAAACCCACAGCAGTGACAATAACAAATGCTGGTGAACGATGTGGAGCAACAGGAACTCTCAGTCCACATGCGTGGGAATGCAAAATGGCACAGCCACTTTGGAAGACAGTTTCGTGGTTTCTTACACAACTAAATATACTCTTACTCCATACGATCACAGTTGGGCTCCTTGGCATATACTCAGGATGAGTTGGAATCTTACGTCTACACAGAAACCTGAACACAGATGTTTACAGCAGTTTTATTCATAATTGCCAAAACCTGGAAGCAACCAAGATATTCTTCAATAGGTGAACAACCTATTAAATAACCTTTATTGACAAACTGTGGTATATCTATACAATGGAATATTTTTCAGCACTAAAAAGAAATGAGCTGTCAAACCAGGAAAAGGCATGGAGAAAACTTAAATGCATACTGCTAAGTGATAGAAGTCAGTCTGAAAAGGCTACACACTGTGTGATTCCAACCATATGACATTCTGGAAAAGGCAGAACTATGGAGACAGTATAATGATCAATGGTTGCTAGGAGTTTGGGAGAAGGAAGGGAAAGTCAGATAGAACACAGGGATTTTTTAGGGCAGGAAACTATTTTGTATGATACTGAAACGGTGGATAAAGGTCAATAAATATTTGTCAAACTCCACAGAAAGTACAACAGCAAGACTAAACCCCTAAGGTACACTATGGATTGGGGTGATAATAATGTGTCGATGTCGATTCATCGACTGTAACACATGCACCACTCTTGGTGGGGAGTGATGGTTAGGGAGGCTCTGCATGTGTGGAAGAAGGGGGTATATGGGAACTCTCTGTACTTGCCGCTGAATTTTGCTGTGAACCCCAAAATACTCTAAAACAAAAGTCTATGAAAAGAAACAAACCAACTAACCATGTACTAAAAAAACAAAAAACCAACAACAAAATATATTTTAAGAAGTTGGATTTTAAGGAAAAAGATATCCTTTGAGTATCCAAACAAAAAGACCAAGTCATTTAAAAGGAAAAGAAAGTAAGATTGTCACCAGACTTCCTGACAGCTATGCCTTATGTCACAATACAACACCGTTATCCATTAAAGACATTCAAGGAAAGGAAATGTAAGTCAAGGATTTATATTTAGCCAAACCTACCTTCAAGAAGAAAGTCTTCACACAAACTTATGAACATGCAAAATCTTTGGCTGCATTGTTCACATGAGCTCCTCCCAAGGAATCTATCACAAAAGAGCTTCAACAATCAAAATGATCAAAGAGACATTGACATAAGGATTGGAAGACTAAAGACAACACAAGTCCATCCTGTTTGTCATTTAATCCACAGAACAGTCCTGAATGGCACTGTTTCCATTCTACACACCGAGCACTTGGAAGTCAAAGTCAGAGGAATTTGCCCCATGGTTGCTGGCAAGTGATGAAACCAGAACTTTCTTTCCACCACATGAAGATGGCTCTCACACACGTTAACAAAACCTTTGCAACTTTGCAAATTGCCTAGAATTTCGTCCTCTCCCGTAACTACCCAGTGGGCTCTTTTGTATCTTTGGCCCAGCTCAAAAGCACCTGCTCTCTCTGTGGCTTTCCCTGACCCAAAAAGCCCAGCACCATCAATGACACAGGACAGTACTGATAACCCAGAGCCTCCTCAGCTGTGGGCCCACACCGTCTCATAGGCGACACCTCTGACACACACTCTGCCACATGTGATCTCCGTGATGCTAACAAGTGCAACTTCTCTGTCTTAAAATCTCAGCACAGAGCATATTCTTGTAGGTAAATGTAGTTAGAAGAAAAATTTTAAAGACGGCAGATGACAGCACCTGGAAGCCTTCCACTCTCACAGATAAAGTCAATTACATAAACATCTCTGCACTACCTCTTAATTTTGTGGGTACTTCTATTCTTGCCCTTTTCATGCAATATTACCCTTTATTTGTTATGATTTGTGTCTGCCTTCTGAGAGCAACGACCATCTTTTACGCTTTGTAGCTTTACCACCAAACACATAATAGTATGCACAGGTAATAAGTATTCAATAGTTGGTAAATATGATTTTTTAAAAAGACAAATCATGAAAAAAAAACTCAGTTCCAATTCTATGTAGATGGACTATTTATATGGAGAAGGAAAGTCCTGCTTTCACACTGCCTAACTCTTACCATAGACCATTATTACATTTATTTAAGCAATAAAAATTTTACATAAGAGGAATCTGAATTTAAATGTAATAGTTCTAATGGGACTGAACATATTTAGGACTTTTAGACTACGAAATAATCTGAAATTTTTATTATTTTTGAAATGTTTTAGCCTGGAGGTACTTCTTTCTAAATAACGCCTGGAGCATTTGAGAACAGGCTCAGACTGAGGTGTAGGAATTTGTTACTACTATTGTATTTTTGGTTGTGATTGTTATTTGGCATCAACAGCACAACTTCCAGACCCAAGAGTGTGAACAAACTGATTACAAATATACACACTCATGTACTTGCCCTTTTTTCAAACAAATGATTTTATATACTTTGTTCAAATTGTTTTTTTTCCCTTTAATATTAAAGAAATGCTATAATGATTAGTGGCTGGAAGGCTCACTATTAATAAGGAAAGAACAACCTACTTTTGCTACTTCTGTAATAAGTATGTAGGTTCATTTCCATAGCTAATTGTCAGCATCTGGCTAATTCCTTTTTACACAATGTGAGTAGCTTCACCTCCCAGGTTATTCTTCTGTCAGTTTTGGATATAAGTTTCACTCCAAGCTTTAAGGAGAGGCAGATAAAAAGAAAGTGAGGGTGGGAGTGAGCATAAACCCACAGAAAAGTGAAATACACACACATTCAGGCCTTGACACAACTTCCATCTTCGACTCCCTCTTGGTTTGAATCAGCTGTTAACTCCTAAAACACTTGTTTGATAACAGGAGCACTCTCCTCTTTGCGTAGTTGTAACACTGAGACCCACCACACTCATGGACCACAAGCGTGTTCCTCTTGCCTCACAACAACTCATCCCCCCAGGCCTAGGATAACGCCTGCCGTACCTACAACAATATCTTTTAGTCCTTCAGTCCACTCGACTCCTGAATCCCCATTAAACATACACCACTCATCTCAACGCACTGCTACTCCATCTTTCTTCATGTCAAACAGCATTCTGACTGCTCTATTTTTCCGGCTCCCCCTCTCCCATATACATTTCCTCTTCCTTTATTTTTAGACCCCACCCAGGTTACTTCAGATCAAAACTCAAGACTACCATTTGAGACAACTCCCCAGAAAATGCAACCATTCTCCAGCTAACTAGAAAATTATTATAACAAAAGGTAGTCTATTACAAACAATTCATTTAAGATAGACACAACTTTAAAAATACAACTCCATTTTTAATATTATTTCTAGTATAGAAAAACAACTAGTTTCTCTGCTTACCACTTCTAATAGTTGTATTTTCCAATAGTTCTGTCTGAAGTTGTAGTTCAGCTTCTCCAAGTACCTTTAGAACAGAATCTATAGGACTTTTTCCCCAGACTTTTCTTGGAGATCCACCAGGATCTAATTTAATAACCTCTCCCACTGTACGTTCTAGAAGAAAAAGATAAAAAAAAATATCTTAAGGCAGATTTAAGATCTTCTACCCAACTGAGTGCTTCACAGGAAAAAAAGGTTACATCACACAGAGAATATAACGATGGTGCTTAAAAATGGACCTAGAGATTATCGAACTAAGTGAAGTCAGATAGAGAAAGACAAATATCATACGATATCACTTACATGTGGAACCTAAAACAATGGTACGAATGAACTTATTTACAAAACAGAAACAGACTTACAGGCTTCAAAAACAAACTTATGGTTACCAAAAGGGAAAGGTGGGGGGGAGGGATAAATTAGTAGTTTGGGAGTAACATAAACACACTACTATATATAAAATAGGTAAACAACAAGGGCCTACGGTACAGCACAGGGAACTCTACTCAATACTCTGTAAAGACCCATATAGGAAAAGAATCTTAAAAAAAGTGGATATAAGCATATGTACAACTGATTCACTTTGCTGTACACCTGAAACTAATAGAACATTGTAAATCAACTATATTCCAATATAAAATAAAAATTAAATTAAAAAAATAATAAATAGTCATCAACATTAAAAAAACAAAAGCAACTAATACTACTAATAATAAATATATCTAAAGTTGCCTTTTAAAACACTTATGAATTAAACTCTAGTTTTAGGGAATACAAAAATGAAAAAAACATAAATTATGTTTCTGTAAAGTTTTTATTTGAGAAAAAAAAAATTTTAAAACCTAAGATAATTAAGAATAACTTGGGGTAGTACATAAATAGATAAAATATAAATTAATATTTTGCTTCTATAAATTTCACTGAAGAGAATAGAAAAAATAATCCTAAAATAAATGTGCACATGGATTAAAAGTAGAGAAAAGTATTTCTAAGAAAATTTGTTTTACCTTATTTATCGTACGTAGGCAACCGACACTTTCTTTTTGACAATAATAATTTGGGGTAAACCTTTTTACTAAAATTTAGCAAAGGAAAAGCCAGAAAAGGACCTACTGAAGTTTGAGTCTTTAGAACATTTGATAATAATACATGAAGCATACAGGCACCTAGCAGTAACAGACAGGGTATTATTATAGAGTGTAAGTCATATAAACTTTCAAAGGTGACCAAATACATGTCGATACAAATTTTTGTGTACTAGTCCATGAAAGTAAATACCTGCAGCTTAGCAGGTACTTTCAGTTTTGTTCAGGGAAAATGATTACCAATAAGGAGCAATTTTTAAAAGGATAGTTAAGAAGGGTAAAGAACCCAGAGCCAACCCATAACTTACAGCCACATGGTGTTGGATAAAGGTGCCAAAGCAATCTAAAGGGGGTGGGTGGGAAACGGGGTGAAGGGGGGTGGGGGAAAAGTGTGGAGCCAGCACCCGGCTGTACACAGACAATACTGTGAAGAGCTCTGCTACAAGGAGGGCTTCAGAAATGGGGGCAGTGGAACAACAGGGTCCGAATGAAGAAAAGGGGGCCGCCGTGCAAAGGGCTTGGGAAAGAGGAGAGGGGAGGAGGGCTGTGAAGTACAAAGAGCAGCTGGGCGCCAGCGGCGGGAAGGGAGCCTCACAAAGGCAGAAGGGACAGAGCGAGAGGCGGTGGGGCCACGGGGTGCCGGCGCAGGCACCGGAAGGGATGCTGGGTTCCAATGTGCACTGCGACCGAGGTCAGGCAGGTACTAAAATGGGTGCGGGGATGCACTTTTACCCTCAAGGCTCTTTTCCGTAAGGTTCCACCACCCGGCACCACCCTCATCTCTCTTCTCCTCACAGCTTAGCTTCTGGAAGAGGCTCCTTCCTCAGTTGCCATGCGCTCCTTAATCCCTGGATTCTGTTTCTGCCCCTAGCCCTGTAGCAACGCTGCTTTCATCAAGGTCACCACGCCTCTACCGACAAACTCAGTGCAGATATTCTAGCCCTTGTCTTGCTGCTGTCTCTTTTTCTTGTAAATCTATACCACACTCTCAGCTTTCCTAACTCTGATGCTTCCTCATCTGCTTATCAAAGTTCTTGCCCTGACAAACCTGTAGAAGAGTTGCCCCTGAAGCCCTTACAAGTCTGTCCTCGAGAGTCTCTTACATATGTCCGCTTTTATTATCTCTCAGTTAAGGTCTTCAGTTTTTGTCTAGATGAGTGCAACAGCCTCTAAAAACTGGTCTCAAGTACGTCCACTCCCAGTAAGATAGAACAGGGTGACCAGAGTTATGCTATTGCCTGGATAACCAAAACAACTGGACAAAATATATAAAACATCAGTCTCAAGACACTGGACAAGAAGTAAGATAAGAAGAGGTAAGAACATGGATCCTGGGAGAAGAGAAACAAACAAGACAACTCCTATGACGGCCCCTCCTGCTGCCTTGGGAGTGTCCAGCTGCAGCTCGGGGGGGGGGGGACCCAGGCAGAGCCCAGCAGATTCCCTGAGTTCTGGCGACAGAGCTGGGACTGACCCTCGGGAGACTAAGGCAGAAGAAAAAGAAGTCCAGAGACTTCCAGAAGGTAGCCTTGAGTATTCAGCAGAGCAGTGAAGGGAGCAATGTGTGAAGAAACGACCTCAGGTAGGAAAAGAACCACCCGAGAGACTACAGGGAATACAGGACGTGAAACACTGCTTGTTCCCAGCAGCCAGACTGGAAAATATCATAATTCGTGGTGACTGGACACTCAGAAGGGCTTTCCCTCTGTGCTAGGAAGAATTTGCACTCGAGTTAAATGTGGCCCTGATCTCTTAAATCTTAAAATCAGACAGACATCTTAAAATCTTAAAAACAGACATAAACGAATCAAACTGAGCCCCACTAACTTAACTGCATTCCAGAACAAAGCTCCAGAATAATTACAGAAACACAAAAAATCCTGGCACCCATCAAGGTAAAATTCACAATGTCTGGCATCCAATCAAAAATTGCCAATCATGCAAAGAAGCAGAAGAATGTGACCCACAATAAGGAGAAAAATTAACCGATGAAAATGGACTCAGAATGGAGACAGACATTAGTATTCTCACACCAGCACACTAATAAAGTTTTTATAACTGTATTCCATATGATCAAAACGTTTAGTACAGACATGGCAGATCAAAACGTTTAGTACAGACATGGCAGACACTTAGACCCAAATCGAACTTCTAGAGATGAAACCCACAATATCTGAGATGAAAAATACACTGGATGGGATTAATACTAGATTAGGCAATGCAGAAAAAAGTAAGTGAATTTGAAACTATCCAGAACGAAAGGCACAGGAAACAACAGAATCTTAAACAATGAAAACCACATCAGTGAACTATGAGACAACCTGATACACGTGAGGCTGCAGCCCCCAGAGGACCGAGAGGCAACACAGGAAAATACCTGAAGAAATATTGGAAAAGACGTTTCCAATCTGATGAAAATGATAAACCACAGACCCAAGATGCTCAGTGAACCCCAAGGAAAAGAAACGTGAAGAAAACTGTGGTAAGGCACTTCACAGTCAAACTGCTCAAAACTAGTGACAGACACAAGTCTTAAAAGCAGTCAGAGAACAACAGCATGTTACGGAGAGAGGAACAAAGGTAAACCTGATTTCTTGTCGGGAACAACGCGATTAAAAGGACAACAGAGCAACATCGTTAAAGCACTCAAAAATGACACTGCCAACCTAGAACTCTATACCCAGAGAAGACATCTTTTAAAAGTTAAGGTATACAATTTTTAAATTTGAAAAAATTTAAATTATACCTTATAAAATAATATAATTAAATCTATATTAATTTAAAAATGAGGTATAAAATTAAGTAAAAATACTCTTCAATATACAAAAGTTGAAAGAATCTATCACCTGCATTGCAAGCAATGTTAAAAGAATGAAGGTGATACCATGGATACATAAATCTAAACAAAGAAATTAAGAACATCAGAAACGGTAACTACATGGATAAGTACAATAAATGCTTTTTTTCTTAGTGTTTACACGTCTAAAGGATAACAGGAGTTCTGACTCCTGGGAAGATGGAGTACTAAGCACGCGTCAGCCGTGCCCCCACTGACACAGTTCTCAGGACCAGGACCCGCACAGGAGCAGCTGCACGGGACACTGAGCAGCAGCCAGCAGCTGGAGGGGTGAAGAAGACAGAACCTCAAAGCGCCCCCAGCACGTGGTACACTCCATCCCCCTCCCGTTTTCCCCAGTCAGGAACCCAAGGGAGGGCACTGGGCTGCGGACAGAGGAAGCTCTAGGAGGGGCCTTCCACTCTGTCTCAAGGGCCGCGCCAGGGAACCCTGACGCCTGGAGAGAGAGAGAGGGTGAGATCTCTCGCTCTTCCCTCAGCTGCCTCCTTTCCAGCCCCCACGCGCTGCCACAGGTAATCAGAACCCAGAGCCCGTAAAGCTGGGGAGAGGACGCTTCCGTCCTGTTTGGTGGAGACGTGGTACCCAGACAGCAGGGCTGTTTCCTCCGGCTCTTGGCCACCCTGCTCCTGGCCACCCTGCTCCAAGCACAGGGCAGAGTGAGATAACCAGAGCCTCAGCTTTCTGACCAGAGGACCAGAGACAGAAAACACCGGGGAGACAGTGCAGACAAAGGAACTCCAGAAGGCAACCTCCTGAAGTTGACTGCTATTACCTGAGCTCACCTCCTGTGCACACGTGGATCTGATCCTGTGTTGTGTATCAAAGACTGAAAACTGAGCCAGCAGACCGAGGAACACCCAGGCCCCAGACCAGTCACCACGTGGTACACAGCCGGACAAGTCGAAGCAGCACTGCCAGGCTCTGAAAAAGGAGCCGATACTGAAAGCACAGGCCACAGAAGGCAGATGGGAACTCAGGACCTGACTCTAACTGGGCCGACTGCAAAACTCTCAATATTCTCCATCAGATGTAAACAAGACCCAGAGCCTTGTGAGAGAATATTCTGAGTGTCTAGGGTATAAGTCAAAATTACTCAGCATAAGAAGAACCAGGAAAATCCTAACTCTCTCGGGAGGTGGCTGCTAGCAGCCGACAGCAATGTAACACAGATGCGAGAGTGATCTAACAAGGATTCTAAGACAGTTGTTATAAAAACGCCCCAGGAAGCAATCATGAACACTCTAGACAGCAAAGGAGAAGAGGAAGTTGGAGAAAAGAAAGAAGATATAAAGACAATTTTATGAAATCACAGTGTCCCTAAAAAAAAACCATCCTGGAAACACGGCCCGACGAGTGCCTCTGCACAGTGCCTGCTGCTGCTCCTGCGCAGCGGTGTCGGAGTGGAGAAGCGGCAGCACAGTCCCCGCGGCCTGCGAAGCCTAAGCTATTTCCTACCTGGCCGCGGACACAGCCCTCTGCAGGCATGGTCCGCTCCAGCTGCGGCTTCTCCGTGCTCTGGGCCCGCTCACCGGAGGCTTCGGGGATTCTCACCTTCGCGTCCGCGCTAGCTGCATCGGCTCCCCAGGGTCCCAGGCTCTCCCCAGCGTCCTGGGCTCAGGGCAGCTCACGCGTCTCAGCCCTCAGCACGCCACGCCACCCAGAAACCACCTCCTGGAGACTGACCAATGCCCTGACACGCGCTCTGCTCTCAGGGAGGGGCTCCGTCTCAACCACTGTGGTGTCCTCACTGCTCAGGAGTGTGTGTGGCAGGTAGTGGGACTCAATACAGAACTGCTTGCTGTGGAGCCTGTGGACTTTTCTCCAACACAAGAAAGAACTCTACCAAAGTGGTCCATCAGAAAACTCACGTAGAACTGTACTTACTTAGCTTGGACAGACCGGCCCTTTAGAAAGTGAGCCCCCTGCGAGCACGTGTGTCTGTTGGTTCCCTGCTGCACCTCCAGCACCAGGAACAATGCGAGAAAAGGGCAGTGGCTCAGGAATCATCACTGCGCAAAGGGATCACCGCGTGAGACCCTCTCATGTGACACCCCTGCTCAATGCCGACAGGACCTTCTGGGTCTTTGCTGAAGTTCACTACTCTGATTCTCACCAAGAACTACCCCTGCTAACAGGTGACTCTAACGTGGGAGAAAGGCCTGAAGTACAGTAACACAATTTAAACGTGCGCCACTAGTTCCCGCTCTCACACTACAGACTGTTGTGGAAAACCCTTGCCATGTGAAAGCTGAATCGTCTTCTCCACGTTTCACCTATTACAGAAACCCTCCCAGCCTCTCTCAGCCCCTCTAAGCATGCCGGGCCGCACCAGGCAGGACACGAGCACGCTCATACGTACTTTCAGTCACAGAGAAGGATGTGTCCAGTGCCAATTCATCCACAGGAATCACCAGGTGGCCTCCAGCCTCCCATTTCTTGCGATCCGATGAAACCGATTTTTCTTTTTCCTGCTCTCTGGCGTCTTCGTGAACAATTATTGCACCCATTTCAGAGTGACTCTGCTTTCCGTTTTCATCTTCTTGAGCTTTAAGATTTTGATTTAATCTACGTAGTATTTCGCGCTTACTCTGAAACAGTTAAAATGTGGTATTTTAATAGGTATATGATTAAGTAAATGATTGAGAGAGAAAATTTGAAAATTGTACCTACCGAAATAGCACTGTGAGTCTTTTGCATTTCTTCTGAGGTTTCTTGGGCATCAGTCAAACTTCTGTCCTTTAAACACATATAGTGACAGAGTAAGAAATAATGTTATTTTAAAAGTCCACCTTAAAATTTTTGATATTTTTACTTTTTGTTTTCATTAACATTTCATGCTCCTTGTGAATCTTTTTATTCCTGTAAAATGTTAACACAGCTTTCTTCATTATCAGCAATGAGAAATAGTTACATATTATCATTTAATAGATGTAATATATACTAGAAGAGCCAATTCTCAATTATTTGTCATATTTTTGGATTGCTTGATCACATATTTAACTATATTCTCTTCCTCTTTGGCACCTGATTCTTGGTAATTTTACATTTACTGTAGAAATTTTAAAAATTAATTCATATACTCAGAGCTAGGGAAGTTTTGATGGATGAATAATTCAAGACAGGCTGTGTTATTTTGAAGCTGTCTTTATGTTTCAGGTACATATATTCTTATTAAGCCATACTACTTACTAAACATAATTGAGAACTGGCTTTTCTCCCTAAGTAAAGAGTAAAGAGTTCTGAGTCCTTGGTACCAAAGATAAAATAAATTTTGTTTTATGATTAGTATAATCAGAGTAATCTAGACGATCTAGAATTTGTAAATATATGAAAAGAAGAAATTAGTAGTTATGAAAACTGCGAAAGCAAAGGTATCTGGAAGACTCAGGGCAAGGAAAAGCGGTTCTCAAAGTTTTAAGGAAGCGATACTTAGCAAGAAGACACATAAAGAAAAACCATTTAGTTACATGGATTACCTCAAATATTATTAAATAGCGGTCAGTTTTAAAGTAATACATGTAAAACAGACAAAGAGCATTTTACCCAGTAAAGTGGCAGGCATTAGCAGTCGCTACGACCAGAGAGGTGAGCAGCTACGTGGGATGTGAGACTGGGGACCAGGAAGGGCCCGCACAGGGGCATCTGAAGTTGGAGTGAACAACGCAGCACACACTCGTTACCAGAGAGAAGAGAGACTACACCTGCTTGAGCAACAGTGGCTTCCTATATCAAGTCCTTGAGGGTGACCAAGGCTGGTATTTCCCACTCAATCTTATTTTCAAGATAAACACAAAGGCTGTAAAAGACTGGTGTGCCAATAACGTCAGTGCTGTCTGCAAAAATTTTGCGAAATTCAACAAATAAAAGGCGCAGACTTCAATGACCAGGAAAGGACAGAATCAGGGTAATGTGTAATATGACTCGGACTCTTCCCTCTGCCTACGGATCTCTAGGCTGAAATTCCACACCACGAGCCCCTTTCCCTGAACCTCAGAATAGAGTTTTTCACATTTCAGAGAGATGCCCAAAACATACTTCCAAGTTTAAACTTGTTACTTGCCCACAGTTCTCTGTTTTACTATCCATATGACATGACAGAGATTCAAAAGTAGAAGGTTAAAGAAATAATTGATGAATTAAGTGCAATTATGCTGAGTCCTCTAACATTTGCCATGCCAAAAAGTTTTAAATACATGTACACGTCCTGGACACTATTCCCAGAGTTAATTAAGTACCAGAGAGACATTATTTGTTTAAAAAGTGAACCTTGGCTAATTGTGAGTGCTAGGGTATAAAAACATTTTCTGCATTGTTTTTCATACATTTCTATACGTTTTTTTGTCCAACAGTCTTTTAAAGTAAAAAAGAGAATCATTTCAATATATTCTTACCTACCAGGTGGTCTTAGATATAAAACCTAAGACCAGTGAGGCTCCAATATTCAGAGTAAACCACACATGAAAACCTTAAGAAGTAATTTTTTCCCTAGAAAAACTTAATGGGACATTAGGAATTAATGTAATTTCATTAAATTTAATCCTTTTAATAATCTTTTGACTTTGAGGAGTTCTAGATTTTATGAAACTTACCATACCCACTTCTTTCAAAGCAGAAGTCACAGAAATAACAGGTCTCATCTGTTGCTTTGATGGAGAGCCACCTGTTTCCTGCTGTCCTGAAGGTGGAGACATATCAGAATTCTTTATCCCTTTGGCCACCAACTGTAACAAAGAATGTAAGTACATTGGGGAATTCATATTTGCATGAAGAGGTAAAATGGTGTATATAAGGTCAGTGTCTACATACTCTAACCACAAGGAGTTTTCTTCATTCCTCAAGTTTTGTTGTGCAAAAGGCAATGTACTAGGTGCTGGGGAAAGATCAGCGGACACAGGGAAACATCTCTGGCCTCACGTGTAAACCTAATCATGCGCCACGTGGTACTAAATAACTCCTTTCCACTGCATTAACAATGTTTCACAAACAGCCTTCTAAAGATTAAACATGAGTCCTCTTACTCTAATTTTAATCCATTATAAAATTTGGCGAAAAAAAAGATTATTTACTAATCTTATACTTCAAAAAGAAATGCTTCTGCAAATTCTACAAGTTTGGCACAATCTTAAAGTCTGAATATCAATTACCCAACATGAGAGCCCTGATTATAAAAATGTCAACATAAATAAGAAAGGAAGAATTGAAAAGTACAGGTAATAAGATTTACGTCACTAAAAATACCATTTGTTATATTCATATATGTTTTTGCTTTTATCTTGACATTTAGACTCTGTAAACAATGTGAAATGATGTTCTGAACTTTCAGTAAATATAAGGAAATGGCATTTCGCAGTATGCTCACAGGAACATGGCAGCAAGTCACTCCCAACTTCTATCTCTTCTTCAAACCAGTAAACAAGAATTTCTGTTGAGTAAATACCAATATTCCAAACACAATATTTATTGAGCATCTTCTAAGCATAAGACAGTAATCCAATTCTAATATTTACTTTTCTGTACTTTCATTTTACACCAATATCTGTTTTGCTCAAAAGGAGATGGAAATAGCTAACACAGTATTGAAGGAGAAGAACTAAGTTGGAGGAATGATACTACCTGACTTCAAGACTTACTAGAAACTACAGTAATCAAGATAGTGTGATACTAATGAAAGTAGAGCAAACAAATCAACTGAACAGAACAGAGCCCAGAAATAGAGTCAACTAACATTTAACAAAGGAGCAAAGGCAATTCAGTGGAGAAAGGACAGTCTTCTTAGCAACAAGTGGTGCTGGAATAACTGGACACCCACAGGCAAACAAACAACCTTACACCCTTCACAAATCTCAGCTCACAATTGATTACAGACCTACATGTAAAACTCAAAACTATAAAACTCCTAGAAGATAACATAGGAGAAAATCCAGGTGACCCTGGGTTTGGCAATGACTTTTTAGATACAACACCAAAGGCACAACCATGAAAGAGAATTAATAAGCTGGTTTCATCAATATTAAAAACTTCTGCTCTGTGAAAGACATTGTCAAAAGAATGAGAAGACAAGCCACAGACTGGGAGAACATATTTACAAATGAAATAAAAAGAAAGGACTGTTAATCAAAATACACAAAAAACTCTTAAAACTCAAAAATATGAAAACAACCCAATTAAAAAATGAGCAAACAACTACTGAGCCCACATGCCACAACTACTGAAGCCCACGCACCTAGAGCCCATGCTCCACAACAAGAGAAGCCACCGCAATGAGAAGCCTGCGCACCACAACGAAGAGTAGCCCCTGCTCGCCACAACTAGAGAAAGCCCCCGCGCAGCAACGAAGACCCAACACAGCCGAGCATAAATAAATAAAATAAATTAAAAAAAAAAAAAAAAGGGCAGAAGATCTGAACAGACACCTCACCAAAGAAGATAGAGAAGGCAATGAAGCCTATGAAAAGATGCTCCACATCGTATGCCATTAGGGAACTGTAAATTAAAACAAGGTAACACCACTGCACACCTACTATGGTGGCTAAAACCCACAGCAGTGACAACAACAAATGCTGCTGAACGATGTGGAGCAACAGGAACTCTCAGTCCACATGGGTGGGAACGCAAAATGGCACAGCCACTTTGGAAGACAGTTTCGTGGTTTCTTACACAATTTAATATACTCTTACTCCATACAATCACAGTTGGGCTCCTTGGCATATACTCAGGATGAGTTGGAATCTTATGTCTACACAGAAACCTGCACACAGATGTTTACAGCAGTTTTATTTGTAATTGCCAAAACCTGGAAACAACCAAGATGAATGGATTAAAAAACCAGTACATACATGGAAGAGTATTCAGTGCTAAAAAGAAATGAGGTATCTAGCCATGCAAACACAAGGAGGAACCCTAAATGCATATTCCTGAGTGAGAGAAGTCAGTCTGAAAGGCTACATCCTTTAAGTTTCTAGCCATATGACATTCTGAACAAGGCAAAACTACAGAGACAGTAAAGAGATCAGTGGTCGCAGGGGCTGGTGAGGGAGTGGGGGTGGGTGGGAGGGATGAGCAGGCAGAGAGCACAGAGGGCTTGCAGGGCCTGAAGACACCATATATGATGCTATAATGATGGATACATGTCATTCTACATTTCTCCAAACCACAGAAGGCACAACACTAACAATGAACCGTACTGTAAACTATGAACTTTCGGTGAGGATGTGTCCATGCAGGTCCATCCACTGTAACAAATGTACCATCTAGTGGGGGATGTTGATAATGGGGGAGGCTGTATGCACGTGGGGGACAAGGGGGTACATGAGAAATCTCTGCACTGTCCTTTCAATTCTGCGGTGAACCTAAAAATGCTCCAAAGAAAATAAAGTCCTTATTAAAAAAAGAAGAGGAAGATGGAAACACTGCTTTAATCCCACAGTTCAGCACTGTTGAAGTATACTGATATTTAACGTTATTATAAATAACTTAAAAAAAATCTAGAGCTCACAAAACTGAGTATTATCTACCTGAAAAATTATATACAAACGTGTTAAAACTTTGATTGTCTTATTACCAGAGTATATTCAAAAAAGTATAAATTCTGAGGAAATATAAACATACGTCAATTGGCTCTGATCAAATAGCAGCATTTTTAGGACAAGTATGTTACTTCCCTAGATGATTATTTTGAAGGAAACAAATTAATCTGGGTGTGCAAACTCTGCCATTTTATTTAAATCAGTAATTACTGATTGGAGAATTTGAGAATTATTTGAGGGTTACAGCTCAATCAAGTTAGGAAAAAACCCAATATATAATAGACCAGAACTAATTGCAGAAAGCAATTTTCAAAAAAGGAGGAAAAACCAAAATGATGACAAAGTGCTTTCTCTGAAAGGATTATAAACTAGAAGAGAACAGGGAACAGATAAATCAATCAGCATGCTGCAGCGAAATAAAGTGGGCAGATGTGTGCTCAATGCTCTGGGGAAGAAGGAACTCCAGACCAGGGAAAGAGTGTGAGGTCGGGCAGCCCCGCACACAGCCACGCGAGTGCACACAGGCAGGAGGGGCCCACAGCTCTGGCCCACCTGCCCTCAGTGTTTCTTAGCCTCTCTGGACCCCAAACCTCTCTAAGATGGGAATGCGGTACTCACTGGATTAAATGTGTAAAGCGCACAGCTGTGTGCCTAATAAATAGTAGTAATTATTATAGTTCAGCAAACACTTATTTAGTTTCCATTAAATAGGGTTATTTGCCTTAAACACTCAGAATCCGGTTTCAGTGCCTGACGAGATGAAGAAGTTTACACAAAGCAAGTTTCTGATCTCTAGAGTACAGCACAGAACAAAACCCTCCTATCAGTGCAGAATCAGAAATGAAAGTGTTAGCACCGTATGCAAAGGTTTTATAGAAGTCAGTATGAAGCAGAAACCTGAAACACAAACACCTTACATTACAAATTTTTAAAAATCTAAGATAAAAAAGTGATCAACAGAGTAATTTAATTGTATGAATAAACAAGAGTGATAATATGAATTTAACCAATTTCACTGAAGCAAGAATAGCACCAACCTCCCTTCTCAGCCTCTGATACAATTTTCATTGATGCTTACAGAGACTATCTCAAAAGTCATTCCCAAAATCACTGGTCAGCTGCCTAGAATAAGAACTTTAAGGAAATTCTTAATAAAAGAAAAAAAAAATTCACCCATATACCCCTGCTCTGGCTAATTGCACTTCATTTATCTATAGTTCTTTTTAATGTTTAGCCACACACACACACACACATAATTCTTATACAATTTAAACAAGACACTGGCACAGCTCTCTGAAACTGGAGATATGTGACCTAAGAAGAATTTAAAAACCTCTATGGAATACTTAGCAAATTTGTCCTTAGTTAATGGCAAAAGTCACATATAAAGGGATTGAAAACCTTTTATTTTGACCTTATAGTCTTAAGTTGTAAAATATATTAGAGACATTCCTATATTAGTCTCAACCTTAAGAGAAACCTCAAGTAACAGAAAAAAAATCTGCTTATTGATAAAGTGCTATGAGTTAAACAGGGCCTGAGACCAATGACAATCAAATTCAGTCCAGCAGGACTATCTCTGTTAAATTCTCTGCACGCTACTCATCTTTGAAAGGAAGTCTTTTCTTTTAATCAACAAAAGGCAATTTAATGAAGAAAAAGTTTCACACATGACTATTAAAATTCTACTCCATAGTATATTAAAATCTGTCTTGCTGCCATACATATGGCTAACGACTGGTACAGACAGAGTCTCTAAGATATCTGATTCACTGTGTAAGAAAGTCATTGGCACCTTTATAAGAAGGATCGTCTGCAGCCTTTAGGAAATGCTTACGTTCCATAATCAAACATGTACTAGTCTCTCCCCGGGTCAGCTAAGCTAAACATAGCAAAAGAACCTGAGATAACAAACAAGCAAAGAAAGATATATGAAATCTAAACCAAAGAACAAAAACAAACAGAACACCCAACTGACTCTTAGAAATACTTTATAACAAAACTAATTCAGTTATTGAAAAATTAAGGGTAATTCAGGGTAACTACTGAGACGTGGTAACACCTTTATAAGCCAAGGTAACACACATCAGTAACTTACTAGCGCAGGAGAACTTGGGCCTTCTGTGTAAACATCATGGATATACTATTTTTAGCCAGAAACGTTAATGCTATTCAGTATTAACCAGACCTTGAGA